GCTCCGTGCCCAGCTCTGCACGCGCTGCCGGCATCGCGGCCGTGGGGCAGGTGGGCACTGCAGCCCCCGGTCCTGCTCGAGCCGGTCCCCGTCCCAAACAGGGCTGCTCTGGGGGTCTCACCGGCGCTGTCGGCCCCGCGCCGGAGCGTTGTCCTCCGGCACAGCCGAGCGGGGGCCGGCGATACCCCGCGCACAGTCGGCGGACGGCAACACCTCGCGCACAATCGGCGGGTCACCGAGGTTAAACGCTGCCTAATTCGCCCATTGAGCGTCCCGTGTGGTGACACCAGCCGGGCCGGGGGCTGCAGGCGGCCGCTCGTCCTGTGCCGGGGCTGGGAATGGGGTGGGATTTGTTGGTGTTTCTGGTGAGCGCCTTGCGAGTGGCCCCCCCGGGTGCGGCTGCTCGCGGGGTCGCAGTGTCCGGAGCCTGTCAGGGGCCGTGGCGGGGAATGGCCGTGGATGCAGGAGTGGGATAATGCACGGGGTCCTAGCGGCACCCGTGTGGGGTCTCTGCTCCTGAGGGGCCGGCTGGAGTGTCCAACCCACCCGGGGGACAATGCTGGGAATTGCTGGGAACAATGGCGCCGACGGGAAGCGCCGCTGACCCCGGCACAGCCCCCAGCGCGCGCCCGGCCCCCTGCGGAAAGGGGCCCGGCATTCCCGGCATGGGAAGCTGCTGCCCCCCTCCGTGGCCCCGGGGCCATCCCGGCCCTGCCGCCCTCCCGCCGCCGCCTGAGCTCAGAGCGCAGGAATCCCGCAGGGCCGGTCAGTGGGCTCGGCCGCGGCGCCGCAGATGCCAATGGGCCCCGGTGCCGCCCCGCTCGGCCCTGCCCTCGGCAGCAGCGCCAGGAGCCCCCGGGTGCCGTGGCACCCACTCCCTGATCCCTGCTCCCTGCTCCCTGCTCCGCTCCGAGGGCAGCCGGAGCCGCCAGCCCCGGTGCAGGGATGCGGAGCACGGGGCTGGAGTCGCTCCCGGGACGGACTCTGTGGCCCTCCCGGGGGGTGTGCGCGTGGGCGCAGGGACAGAAACGGGCACAGGGATGGGCACGGCTGCCTTCACCCTTCCCGCTGGCCAGAGGGCAGATGGAAAGACTCATCCCTGGAACGGGCGCCAATATATACCTGATGCCTCAGCACAGCCGCGTCCCCGGGTGCCGCCGGCCCCGGCACGCGCTGCAGGAGCCACTGCTTCCGAGCGCGGGCAGTGCGGGTCCTGCAGAGCTGCGTGGCTCCTCCGGCCCACACGGGACCTGGGACGTCGTGGGAAGCCCCATTCCGTCCTCTCAGTGTCACGGAAAGGCGCCCGCCCGCTCGGGCCCTGACCAATGCCTTTGTGCGGCGTGGGCACTGGCACGCCAGCGTGGGGCTCCCGGCGCTTTTTCCCCCATAGAACCCGCGGCTCGGGAAGCGGCAGCGCGGATGTGCGTGCTGCAAAGGCCGCGCGCTCATTAGTGCCTCGTTAAACAGGATTTCAGTGAGTGCCTGGCCCCGGCGCACGCCCTGGCTGCGGCTCCCTGCCCGCCCCGCGTTGCCCTTTGCCAGCCCCAGCCCAGCAAATTCCAGCTCTGCCTTTCAGGCAGGGAGCTAAATAAAGCGCTGGCAGGAGCAGCGAGGGCTTCCGCCGAGCGCTTCCATTGGGACGTTCCCCTGGCCCCGTTGGGATCGCTGCGGGCGACGGCGCCGCGCGGGACGGGCGTCTCCGTGCGCTCGGGCACCTCGACCTGCCCCTGCTCAGGGTTTCTGCTCCCGATGCCCCTCGCAGATCCGCTCGCCACGACTTTCTCCGGCATTCCTGGCATTGCTGCGTCCCAGCCAGCCCGGATGCAGCCACCGGAGCGGGATTTTCCTGTAATCTGGTTTGACACGTTAATCCGGTCATCCACACCAAACGCCAGCGGGGACCTGCGCAGGGGGCGCGGGGTCGGCGGCTCCTGCCCGCACAGCGCCTAATTCCCCCTTCACTTAATTATAGATCTCTTGGAAAGGACCATCTGCCGCATGGAGCCACCAGGCCCTGCTGCGGAGCGTCCCGCGGGGCCGGGCGCTGGGCACATCCCGCGGGATCCCGCGGCCCCGGAGCAGCCGCCGGCCCCGCGGCCGGCCCCGCATCCCGCCTTGGCTCGGAGCTGTTCCTTGAGCTCCGAGCGCCATGCGGCTCCTCCCAGGGAAAAACCTTGGCTCCCTCCTTGGGCAGGGCGCTCCCGGGGCAGCTCTTTGGCGGATGAAGCTCTTTGCAGCTCCGTGCATCCCGCCGGGACGCACTGAGTCACCGCGCGCCGCCGCGGCCGCCTTTCCTTGTGTCACCGCGCCCGGCAGCCTCTCTCGGCTCCGGGAGCAGTGCAGCCCTCACGGGGACCCGCGTTATTCCCATGCGGAGTATGCAGCTTGGCCGCGGAGCCGGCCCTGGAGCGGGTGCCGCTGGTGCCGCACAGCCCACATCAGGTCTCGCTGCCGCAATTCCTAGTCCGGAGGCGACATCCAAGCTTCCCTGTGCCAAGAGCCGTTCGGTTTGGCCAGGGTGGCCGGGTTTCGTGCGGCCCCGCTCGCCGTGGTTGCGTTGGGACTCGGGCACAGCCGGGATTTCCTCAATGCTAGGAAATCCTGCGGAGGCTTCGGGGAAGCAGCTGATTTCTCCCCGTGCGTGCGGGACGAGCGGGCCGGGCTCTGCGGAGGCGCTGGGCAGCCCGTGCCCTCCGCGGGCGCGGGGATCAGAGGTGCCGCGAGCCACTGATGCCCGTGGCAGCAGATGCGTCGCCCGCCCGCGCGGCCTCCCCGGCCTCTGCTCAAACCACTGCCTCCCTCCCCACGTCCTCGGAAGGGAACGGAGCCCCGTGGGCTCTGCGCGTCCCAGTGCCGGCGGTTCCGAGAAGGCTTCCAGAGGAGATTTCCGAGCGGGATCCCTGCCATGCGGGGCCCGCGGTGTCAGCCTGCTGCGGCAGCAGCTCCCTGGGCGGTCCCGGGTCTCTCCCGCGGTACCGGGTCTCCCCATGATTTCCAGGTCTCCCCATGATTTCCAGGGCTCTCCCCTGGAGAGGTTCCAGGTCTCCCCAGTGGCAGGTTAGGGGCTCCCAGCTGCCCGGGCCACATCCCGGTGTTGCGCGGGAACAAAGCGCCCATTGAGGCTCCGCGGGAACAAGCGCGCTCTGTGCGCGCTCCGGTCATGTGCTCCGTCCTGCCCGGCTCGCTGCCGCTCCGCTGCCCTCCTTCCACGTGGGAGCGCGGCCGGGGCTCCGTGCCCTCATCCGTGTGTTCCCGCGGCAGCCCCACAGCAGAGCCCGGAGCTCCGGCCCTGCCGCCCTCGGAGCCACACTCCTCCCTGGACGTGTTTGGCAGCTGCCGCCGGAGCCGCCGGCCTCCCCATGCCGCCTCCTGCTCTCCTTTGTCTGACACGCGGGGGAACAAGTGCTGGGAGGCACGGGCAGGAGCGCCGGGCACCGGGGTGGCTTTCCCAGCGCGGGGGCCCGGGTGATTCCCCGGAGCGGACAAGCTGCGTGCCGGGCTGCGGCTTTGTGAGGCGGGAGCGGCGCCGCGTGCATGAGCGTGCATGCGTGCCGGGTAATCCCGCGCCATAAATCAGGCCTGGAATGCGTCGGGCCGTCACGCGCTGGGTGGGTCCCACACAAGAGCTGGCCCAGCACAAACGGGCGCTCGAGGAACGGCCGCGCCGGGAGCCTCGCATACATCTTCCTGTCCCGGCTTAGGAAAACATTTCCCGGCGGTGCATTGCTCCGGCGCTCCGCGTGGCGCAGCGCACGGCCCCGGCATCATTAATCTTGTCGGCCTGAGCCCGGGATCGTGCCTTGGGCAGCGGAGGCAGCCGGCGAGGGAGGCTTGGACGGGAAATGCTTCGGCGGGAGGGGAGGCTGCCAGCCCCACGAGGCCGCGCCGGGGCGGCCGCCGCTTTCAGCACCGGCTCCCGAGCCTGATTTGTAGCCTGGCAAAACGGGAGCGGGTTGTGGAAGTTGCCTGGGGCCCCGGCCGTGGGTGGACACAGCCGCCTGCACCCCCTGCCCTGCAGAGCCCCGATGGCACCGGCCGCAGTCCGGGGACCCCGTCCCCGGGCACCCGGGGGAACGAACGTGGAGCAGGGGCCGTGCGGAGGCTGCGCCGCATCCCGCACCGAGGGGGATGTTAAAGACCTGCGCGGAGCCGCGTCCTGCGGAGGGAGAGCGGCGCCAGGGCCGCTCCGTCCCCGTCCCCGGGGGTGCCCGGGGACCTCGCCGCGCCGCGTCCCTCGGGGCGCGGCCCAGCTGCCGCGGCCGCCACTCTCCACGCGAGCTATGCGAGGCGTTGGCGGCCGGGCCGGCCCCGGCGCCGCAGCTGTCGCCGTGGATC